GCAATTTATTAAGTGCACTGCTGTTCCAAATTTGCATTATTTCAACGTCTTCAAGAAGACTTAACGTGTTTTTTCATTGGCCAAGCAAAGGGAAAGCCAATATACTAGCTGACAAAATGTCTCCAAAAATTAATGAAAGAAGTTATCGAGTTTTAGCGTTTTTCCTGGCAGAGTAACACGCCTGATCAATTGAAATCTGAACATATTATGTTGATTAAACCATTTAATCAAAAATAACGAGCACATAGAGTTTTATTGGTCAACTGTGGTCACTATTTCTAAAAATATAACACCACGCATAAATGAAGGTTACTTATAACACTTGAATGTTTCTAGTTAATGCACTGAATACTCTGCCTGATCCGCTGCCATAGTTTTACTATTTACTCGGAAGTCAACTGCCATAACTTCGGCGAAAACAATATTAATCGCTCCGGTATAAGCATGGTTCCCCTTAAATAAAAACAGCCATGCTAGATCGAATTTGGCATGATAAAGTTTTCACCAAAATTAATTTAACATCGGTTGGCAATATAATGTGGAGAAAAGAAGTGGCAATTAACTTCCATTCCAACTGAAAGTCTCTCGTTTTCCGCATCTCGGAATAAGAAATAGCGATATTTTCAACTTCAAGGGCTTTTTACGTTAGAGTGAACATTTACCACTCCGATAAGAAGCATTTTTTTTGTAGTGATATTTCCTTAAGTGCTGTATTATACTCGTTGTAAATTCAACTGGAAATGATATGTTTATATTGAAATAAAAAATTAACGTGCCCTACATTTCAAGAATACTTTACAAAGTAGTTCGAGTGGCTATCAACTGTGAAAAGTCTTCCTTCCTAAAAAACTTATAGCTTTGCCGTTCTCTTTCTGTTAACGACGCATAAAGGAAGAAAATAATAGATAAAAATAGTTTTAACGATCTCGAAAAGACACAAAAGAGAGGCGTGTGTGTAATATCTTCCCGCAGTAACGATGAGGTCGTGTCAACTGCTCGATTTGTGCAAGTGTGTGTCTTAAAACGTTTGCACTTGAATTCAGATGTGTTCATACCGTTCTTGTCAAAAGTGGGAATTTTTTTTCTGGATCATTACATTGGAAACTCATATAATTTCAATATATTTAACTGATTCAATCATTTCTTACCGTTTTTGTTGATGTAATCAGGGAAGATAATTGTCAATAAGGATTTCCACTGAAAAATCCAACCAAATGTAAATGTGCAGCTGAAATCAAAGCTGGCATAAACATATGTCGAATGATTTTATAGGAAGGAAAAAAAAAATTGTCGTAGCTCGTGAATCAATCTTCGTGAAGCGAAATTTGAAACGTTCTGCTGATTGAGGTAACTGGTGTCGAATAGATGAAGTGAGCTTATGAGTGCTAAACCTATTTAAAAGTAGCGAGAAGCAGATGGCAGATATTAGAAAGGAAAATAACAGCACTTCGATTGGCTAAAAAGGGAAACAAGGATCTAACGAATGCAACTATAGGTTAAGACACTAATAAACAAAGTGTGACAGTTAACCGCTTGTCAAAATGCCTAGGACTTTATGGCGCTTTAGCGAATGAAAACTGGGAATATTCATCAAGCTTTTAAGGTTAAAAATCTTTCATTCAATTTCTCTCAAGATACTTAAGTAAAAATAGCAGTTCTAAATCATTTGAAATATTCTTTGAATCGTCAGGGATGTGTATTGTGTACCAAAACTTGGTAGGAATCAATCATGTTTAAACTATACACCATGACGTCTTCACATGTCTTGAGGTGAACTTACTGATGTCATAGTTTGCCCCAATCTCGTATGTTTTGGGCCATGTGGATTCCAAAATGGCGCAAACACGTGTATAGTTAGAACCCTCAATGATACAGCTTTTCATAAGATAAGTTAAAATCTCTAGAGCCTTTTCTGTGTTCAATTTTACATTCATCGCCTCCTATGGTGAAGTAGTAACTCTCTGAGTAGAGAAATCCATTATTTTGTCAGGCTGCTCTTGTGCAAATTAGCTAAAACGTCGACCTGAGATTGTTTTTCGATCTTCTAATCTTGGCAAATGGAAACCAAATGGTCGTAATGACCTAAGATTATAAATAATGGATTATTCTGAAATGTACCTCCGCAAAAACTCAATTTACTTCTTTGACGTTTCCGAAACGATAAACTAAATTTTTTTTGACGCACATTATATTTTTACTGATAGCAGATTCATTTAGTTGTTTGATGAACTAAAGTTTCTGATAAACAATGCGATTGTTTTAAGTGCTAACTTCCTTTACTAAGCAGGGAGGTACAAAAAATAGACTAAGATTGATGTGGTGCAGAAACCCGCGATTAAAAATCCTGTAATTCTAGTTCGCTCACAAATTTATTTGCTTCTAGCTTTTCATTTTCTATGTTGAGCATGATTGCCGTAAATGTTTTTTAGTTCTCTTGTGTTCAAAAAAACTGCATTATTAAAAGAATTATGCCGTGGAACAACTGGCCTCACAAGATCCGTTAACAAAGAAAAAGATAAAGAAATTCATAATTATTAATATTTTTTTGTTCTTTGCAACCACAGATTACTTCTTATAGTTCTTTGCACTCCCAATGATCAAATTAGGAAAACTAGCAAGAACTGAGAGATTGAATTGTACACGAAAGTAGAGCCAGTAAAGTAAACAAAGTGTAACACCCTCCCTCTTGTACAACTCAGAGCCTCCAACTGAAAAACTGATACATTTCTTTCAAAATTTCCGAATAACATCGCCAAAAGTGAACATGTGGGATTTCATGAGATTGTAAAATTACCATCGTGTAATGATCGATAATTGGAAACTAAATTCGACGTTATTTTGAGGCATTCTGTGATAAAAGTGGTTTTTCCCTTTTTCGTCTCTATTATACACGTCACACGTACGTATGACGTCATACTAATCCCATGTGACGCGCACCAAGATTATTTGCATCGTATTGCAAACATCTATGCAACTGTTTTGAATACCTCAAAACAAAAATCATTTCTAACAGCACCAAATGTTGAAAAGAAATTTTAAAGTTCATATGAAACACTTGAAATACTGGTGAAATGACACTGATGATGAAATTTTACCTGTGTAACCTGTGTGTTTGCACAATTTCTCTGAACTTTGAAATTTATTTTCTCGAGTCCCTATGTGAAACTGTTTTTGGTGTTATTTCGGGCAATTATTTATAGCTTCAGCTTTTAGAAAATGCAAAAACGATTTTAATATACTAAACATTATTCTGGTACAAGGTGTTTGTCCACTAAATACTGAAATTGTTCAATTTCCTATCGGATTTCGTCTTAAATTCCTATCAATAAAAACTAAAAAAGAATGAAGAAAAAATATTTAAAAAGGGTAAACAGAATCACTAGCTTACCTTCGGCGATATGTTGGCTCAGAAAAGTAAAACCCCGACGGTAAAATATCCCTGGTTCGTCAAACTTGTATTTTCGAGAATTGATTTACTTGTATGGTTATATCATTTCCGGTCGTGTTCTTCACTCGAAGAGGAGAACGCAGTTATTATGCTGTTAATTGTTTATTCAAGGTCAAAATATCCTAATTCTGTCAGACAATCAATGTTTTTGTCAAGTGAAGCACTACAATCTTTTCAAAAATCAATGTAGAATATTGCCCTCAATTTTTTTTTTAGTCCCGTTGAACGATGCACGGAAGAAAGCGGAGTGATAAAGGAAAATGACCTCCTTTTTTGCCTTTGACCCGCCCTTGAGCCGTTAGTCAACAGAAACTTGGAGTCGGGTTTGGATTTCGTCAGAGAGATTGTTGTTAAATGTTTAATATAACGAACGAATATATATCCTCTGTATTACTCGAGTATACTATGTGTTTTTCTGGCAAACCTGATGACATTTCGTCGTCCTTCAGTAATGTGATCAAGAGCTCAAGTTTTGTTGATTCAGTACAGCAATCGACCCACAGAAATCTTTTCTGCGCCGGGCAAACCGACCATTAATTCTAACCTTTCAGAAATTTAAAACTGCAGAAAAAAAAAAATCCAAATTGGGACTTTTGGAACAAAAACACTTTCTTGAACTATCTGTCGGCAAGCGAGAAAATAGACAAGAGCACTTAACTCCGCACGACAAAACTTTAAAACTAACTCGCAAAAATTTCAAGAATTCCAACCGACAACTGATGAAACCCAAACTTTAACTTGTTAGTAGCATTTCTTTCCAACCAAAGTGTCTCCTTTTTTTCAGTTTCTTTAAAAACCGTTAACCTTACAACGAAATTTTCCGAGTTGAATAATGTTCCTTTTCTTATTTGCCCACGATGATTTTTGTTCCATTTAACATCTTAATTTCGAAATGTGTGCGTGCTTTACTCCATCAAATGACAAGGCAGCCCCAAAATTTCATGATGAATCGAACTCGTGAGAACCTATTTTAGCCCTGACCATAAGTATTATTATTCAACGGTTTCTTGTAAATAAGCACCTGCTTCGTGGAAAAGGTCACGAAAACTTTGTTGGTCTTTATATCAACCTGGCGCCCCTCAGGCGTGCTCTCGCTATAAGCATGCAAAATGTAAATTTTACTTCAAGTGAAAAAAACAAGCCACAACATCGTAAACAAATGCAGGAAATGAAAGGTTGAACGAATATCTTTGTAAAACGCTAAGAAACTTAAAGCGAAGCGATCAAAGTTAAGTTGTAGCCGTTATTAGAAGGTTTCAACAGGAAAGTTAAATAGGTGCTAGTTTTTAGCTCTATAAAATTCGCGCACTCTTCATTAGATACTTCAACTCGAGAGACTAGGAACAGATTTGGAAATCTGAATAACCTGTCTCTGGAGTGTGAAAGATAAGTGACTGTAGGAAATAAATTTGCTGCAATCTTCATTTAGGTTCGACAGAAAACTGTATCAATTTATAAGGCGTTTTAGTACTTTTTTCAGGAAGACTAAACAAACGCCAATGTTTCGTTCAGACACACGGAACAACTTAAAACAATATCTTTTAAACCTCACCTTTTTGTTGAATTGTCAATGATCTGTTCGAGTTTAAACTGTCCCCGCTACGAAACACTTCAAAGTTTTCCCTGTCGATCTATGGAACTCAGAGATTCGTAAAAACGTGATTTATTTTGAGCTTCGAGCTGGATAAATAACAGCCCTTTGCTTGGCTGATCCAATCCGGAGCAGTAAATATAATTTGACTGACATATAATGAATGTGGTATTGCACCTGGTTGTATACAATGTGTCTAGTTTTACTCACTCCTTGTCTGCATGTTTAAATTTTGTTTGTTTTTGTCCCTTTATTGACTCCGATAATTGCATCGTGTAAATGTGATGTTTTACATAAGAAAAGTAGAAATTCAAACAATGTACTAAACGTGTGTCTAGGCGACAAAAAATCTGGAATAAAACGTGATGTTTTTCAGGCAAATAAACAGTACCCCGGCCCTCGAAATATATCAAAAACAGATCGGTGCTTGCTGCGCGCTGAATAAAGGTTTTTAAAGTTCTCGAGCAAAACCTTAATCCCACACAATTATAGCTGGCGCAAGTTCATAACTCGAGAACTTTATACTTTACGTACACTGAAAAAGATTTGTGTCAAGGTCGAGCGGCAAATATCCGTTCTAAAGTGCAGACTACAATGCTTAGATTTTTTATCATGTAGAAAAATCATGTCCTAGTCACAACAAACGGGCCATGATATAGACAAACTGGCGATTGTTGAGTTTTTTTTATGAGTTTTTGACCTTTTCATTGGCAAAGGTGACATGACTCAAGCACAGCACACGCTATTAGCCTATTGCTTCCTTGATTCCTACTGTTCTTACGTAACTGGCTGCATATTTGGGGCTCCAAAAAACTCAACTTAGCACTGAGGAAGGGCTAGGCCCGAAACGTCTGCTATAGACATCGTTTTTAATTTGGCACTGCGTTATTTCTATTACGTTCTAATTCACTACGTTCAAACGAACGTAAATTATTTACCACTTAAATATCCGCAAAAAAAGGTACAACGAAGCATGGGTGGATCGCACGCGGACCCTAAAGTATAAATAGAAAGAAACGACCAATCACGACTCCTCAATAAGCGTCCTCTGACACCTAACACAGAAAATCCAGTGAGGAATGTGACGCTAAAACACCAGCGGATAATGTATTTTACGACTTTTTATCTGGGGCTCCGTCCATAGTACTGAATACGCCGGAGAAATTTGAAAGCACAGCTTTATTTCTAAGGTTAGGCCGGTCTACCATCCACACTAATCTGCCTTGAAAACGGAGCTTTAATTTGGGAAGGCGTTCTTCAAACCGGAGGAATTTTAAAACTCCGGCTTTTGGTTTTCATGTGGACGGAAGATTAACATTTTGAAAAAGGAGCTTTTCGAAAACGATGGCGTCGCGATAATCATGTGATTTTTCAGTCCGAGTTTTCCTCAAACACAAATCCAAAATGACCGGTGATTGTTGCGTTTTTAAATTTCTCCGGCGTAGTGTGGACGGAAAACATTTGATGCGTTTTCAGAGTGAACTCTCCGTTTACCAATTTTTTCGGCGTAGTGTGGACGGGCCTGAAAAGATACAGCGGTTCACTGAATACTGCTCAAAGAAACTCAAAAAGAAAAGGCGCTTAATGTCTGTTAATAAATCAATGGCACAGGGCGTTATGCAATACCACACTGGAAGGCGCCATAAGATGGATAAATATTAGCATGTTTAATATAAAGCGGGGAAAAGATATCGGAGCGATTAAAGAATTGGAAATAAATAAGGAGAAAAAAAAAAATAAAGATTGATATGTAAATTTGCAAATACTAGGCCTGTTTGGCACCAACGATTCAATCGTTGGTGCCAAAGTCTTTTTTATTCCTTCCTAACTTTCATATAGTGGTGAACAAAGTTCAGTTCAGTAGTATCTCTTGTAGGATACTAGTATTCGTCAATTTTGCGGCCCCAGCAAAACTAGTAAAGATGACCTACGGGAAAGGAGGACTGGAGAAGGCATGACAAAAAAAATTTCTGAATTTCTTTTTGCTTTATTAGGCCCCGTCAACCGACATTACGCCGGAGAAATTTGAATATGGAGGTTTCACTCTGAAAGTGCATCAAATGTTTTCCGTCCACACTTTTCCGAAGGAATTTAAAAACCGGCAACAATCACCGGCCATTTTGGATTTGTGTTTGAGAAAAACTCGGTCAGGGAAATCACGTGATTATCGTGACGCCATCAGTTTTCGAAAAGCTCTGTTTTCAACATGTTTTCCAACCACACGAAAACGTAATGCCGGCGTTTTCAAATTCCCTCGGTTTGAAGAGCGTTTTTGAAAAGCTCTGTTTTCGTGACGGATTAGTGTGGACGTTAGGCCAAACCGCAGAAATAAAGCTACGCTTTTTTAAAATTTCTTTGGCGTAGTGTGGACGAAGCCTTTTAGACCCGAGTGGAATCAAATCGGGGCGATTTGTAATATCTGTCGCGCATCAACAGATTTTTAAGACCTTCCAAAATAGGGCGACTTTTATTCCCGCTCACATTTTTCTTAATATCGAATTCGCACCAAATCGGGCCGTCAAATTTTTACGAGTACATTAGGGCTTTAACTTGTTAGGAACAACGTTGCATATTATTCTAAGCCAATGAGAACAGTTCAAATCTTTTCCCCTTATTTGGAAACTCACTGTTATTTTCCAAAAAATCCTTTTAAAACTCATGTGTGTTCAGAAAAAAAAATCCGCAAACACGGTCAAAGACTTTCAACTGCTTATTCTTTGAAATGTTATAGCAGAGTCACTGCAGAACGTTGCATTGATTTGACCAGTACGACTTTAAACCAACTGCTGAAACTTGAGCCACATTCAGGTTTGCGATCAAAGATATTAAAAATGCTTCTCCCGCCAAGAACTATCTTGTCATCTCAATCTACATGGATTTCTCCTTACTCCATTAAAAGAAGAATATCTCTACTTGATACTTCATAAAGGTTTTCTGTGGTTGGAACTACGACAAAACTAATTCGGAACGAAGAAAGTGTCTTTTGCTTCTACCCGGAAGCTGCTAGCCTAATGTAACTTATCCTTTGTCACCATGAATCAGTTCTCAATTTACCGGCTGGGACAGGCGGCTGGCGACTGAAGAAATTTCAACTGGTTTTTTGGAATTATGCACAAAATTTGTTTTAAATTTTGCTTCCTACCTTTAAAAATGTGGGAGTAGTTCGTTACTAAGAGTATCATCGGCCGAAATATGAGGTTCTGGATTTTTATTCTGCCGAACAAATATTCTCTCAGACAGCTTAGATATGGTTTTTTGTTGTTTTTTTTTGCGCGAGGTATGCTTGCTAATACGTACTCAACTAAGAAGATCAATACGAAACGAACCTGAGTCTGATACTTCAGTGCAATTCTAAATCAGTAATTATCATTTCAGTCCGAATTTGTGTTGAGAATTTTCGACTTTTCATCCAGTAGTGTTTAGGAAAAATTCGCTTCACTAGTTTGCCAGAAAGTGATGGGATTTTAGCTCTGGCGAATTTAGCCGGTTGTACATGTAATATCGTCTGCCAATACCCGGCCAATAGCAGCGAAGGATCAAGAATTGAAGCCTCGAAAAATCTTATTGACAATGGAAGGTTACTCACGAAGTAAATTAGAATTAAATAGAATGTATCCCCACCTTAAAGCTTTAGCTTATTTCTTTCTTTCTCCTGAAAAATCAGCTTTAAATGATCGACGGAAGGAACTGACAAAACTGTCAACGGCAGCGAATTTTTTTTCCTATATATTAACTGCTGATTTAGCCGCCGCCCAATTAACTTCCTGACAAGGGTGCTGTGATCAAATTGATCAAAAGATATCGCTTAACCCTTGGATATCTATTTGCGTACTTCAAAATGTACCGTCCCACTTTTTGCTTATCACAATTACCTTTTTTTTAATTAATAACGAGACTGTCCAAAATGCTGAAAAGTCGAGATATATATTTGTTTTTATATTTGAAACCACCCTTTTAAATTTGTGTTCGATCATCTAAGAAATGGGAATGATTCTTTTGGGCGGATTTTCTGTGAAGCTGAGCTACCTACAAGTCTTTTTAGTAACAGACATCACGTAAATTTCTCACCGAGTTTTCAGAAAAATTGACCGTTTCACAGATTCCAATGTTGAAGACAGTGCAAGAACGCTGTTTTTGGTCTGTTTATAAAAATTTCGATTTTAACATTTTACTTATATCGCTGCACCGCATGCTACCAAAACAAGGGCTATAATGTTGATAAATTTGAGATGAATAAAAAACCGCTTACAGCAGATGTCTTTATCTAATCGTTTAAATAATGCAAAGACTATAAGCTACAAACTGGCAGACCTATTAATCATCTAGCGTAAGACAAAATAAAAAATCAGAAAAGGCACTTAGCTATTACGCGGCAAGAGATTTTAAATTTTTTGGGAGAGGGACATATAGAAACAACCAAAAATAAAAATATCACCCTCGAGATTTCAAGATAATTCTTTGACCGAATTTTAATACAATAGTAGCGATTCAAATGCCGCCGTATTTTAGTGTGGGGGCTAGATGTTCCGGTGTCGATCTGCAGAGAAATTGTGAATTATTTTGCACTTTGTTTATCAAAAAGATGTAAAATATTAAATTGACTATCAATAAATAAAAGCGCATTTACAGATTACTTTCCGTCGGTTTCAATGTGTCAAGAAACTAACAAAACTGAATTTAGCCGCAATCAGTTTTGACTGTACTGTATTGTTTGCGACACGACAGCATTTCTTTCGTATCTTGCTCTCAAGTGATTTGATTACGGTCTGATGCGGCAGATTTTGATTTTCCTTCGTCATGCAATCGAACTTCTGCCTGAAAATGAGCGAAAAATCGAAAAAAAAAAAACAAGGAAGTTTTTTTCCCAACGAAATTGCAAAACCTCTGATAACCGTAAACAGCAGGAGGTTGAGAGAAACTGTTTGTCATCTTGCGTGCAACAGAGTATACGTCTTCGCCTTAATTTAGGTACAAAGTTTGTCTTCCCCGTCAACCCACAACACACGGCATGTGGAGCGCGGCAAAGCGCAGTAAAACAGTGTTTCCGACGGGTCGGTATTTTCGCCGCTGATAGTAGCTAGAATTAAATAACTGAATATTCAATTTTGGATTTCCCTTCAACCAGCGCATAGATTTCTGTCAGTTTTATTCAGGATTATCTTTTTTATATTTTAAAAACGTTTACAAAATCATGATTAGACATCAAGTCGCTTTTTTTGTGTGGAAAATAAATTGGCGCAGCGCGAAAAGGAAGCAGGGAACGCGAATCCACTTCCCATGGCTCCTTGCGCTTCGCAGCCGCATCCCACGCACTCGTCACCAGTCGCTTGTGCTTCTTGCTCGGTCGCTTACATTCGTGTTTGTGAACTGTGTAAATACATACGAGTCTCGAAGAAGAGAGACGACGTCTTCTTTGAAGAAACCGTAAGTTTAACCCCAACAAGCACCCCTGAAAAGTATGTTAAAGTGACCGAGCTGGGAAGACTCTAGACTCGAGATTGCTAGAAAAGTTGATAAATAAATTAGCTTAAAATAATAGCAAACCATAATATGAATACAGGGCCAGTAGATTATTCACGAGTTACTGACGAAGCAGAACTAGCACTCGAAAAATATTGCAACATCAAAAAATTAATTCAGTTGATTACGGGGATGACGTCAGAGATAAACAACGTCATAGCTAGATCGCGGGCGCAAGGTAAAAATTTGATCGAATCGAAAGATCGAGTGACTTTTAACGTGTTTGTACTCTAACTAAAATCACCACGATTTCTATCTGGTAGGAAGATACTCCTGAACTTCATAACTGTGGACCTGTGCTTTGAAAGGTAAAGTTCATTTCTTCATTGCGTTAGACCGTTGTAGCAGAACTTACCTTAAGTGGGTGTGTTATTCTGACAACAGTGCTAGTCCTCGGGTTGCCTGATCTGTGAGCTAGTTTATATTTACTACTTGTCAGTTACGAAAACCCTTATCTATGTGTTCTTTAAATTCAACTGTTGACGGAAAAACCTGTGGGCATAAGTTGTCTGTAGAAATGTTTTCGATCAAACGTTCATGTAACTTTTGTTTAATCTTTTCACGTTATACTCATTATAATGCCTTAAGTTGTCGATGACTTGTTTTTACGTATTGTTCATGTATCAATTCGTTAATGATAAATGAATTTCATATAAATCTGATTTGTTGGAGAGGTCTATCAGCTCTGCTATGTCAGTGATACAGCAAAAGGGCTACATAAAATGAAAAAAAACAAAAAAACAAAAAAACAAAAACACAAATAAGCAATGGTTTAGCTATATAGCCACACGCTGAACTTAAGAGTTCCAAAGTAATCTTTTGACAGATTATCAGTATTTTCCTGTTATCCTAAATTGATTAACATTTTAAAAGAATATTCTCTCTCTGAAAGCAAGNAACCGTAAGTTTAACCCCAACAAGCACCCCTGAAAAGTATGTTAAAGTGACCGAGCTGGGAAGACTCTAGACTCGAGATTGCTAGAAAAGTTGATAAATAAATTAGCTTAAAATAATAGCAAACCATAATATGAATACAGGGCCAGTAGATTATTCACGAGTTACTGACGAAGCAGAACTAGCACTCGAAAAATATTGCAACATCAAAAAATTAATTCAGTTGATTACGGGGATGACGTCAGAGATAAACAACGTCATAGCTAGATCGCGGGCGCAAGGTAAAAATTTGATCGAATCGAAAGATCGAGTGACTTTTAACGTGTTTGTACTCTAACTAAAATCACCACGATTTCTATCTGGTAGGAAGATACTCCTGAACTTCATAACTGTGGACCTGTGCTTTGAAAGGTAAAGTTCATTTCTTCATTGCGTTAGACCGTTGTAGCAGAACTTACCTTAAGTGGGTGTGTTATTCTGACAACAGTGCTAGTCCTCGGGTTGCCTGATCTGTGAGCTAGTTTATATTTACTACTTGTCAGTTACGAAAACCCTTATCTATGTGTTCTTTAAATTCAACTGTTGACGGAAAAACCTGTGGGCATAAGTTGTCTGTAGAAATGTTTTCGATCAAACGTTCATGTAACTTTTGTTTAATCTTTTCACGTTATACTCATTATAATGCCTTAAGTTGTCGATGACTTGTTTTTACGTATTGTTCATGTATCAATTCGTTAATGATAAATGAATTTCATATAAATCTGATTTGTTGGAGAGGTCTATCAGCTCTGCTATGTCAGTGATACAGCAAAAGGGCTACATAAAATGAAAAAAAACAAAAAAACAAAAAAACAAAAACACAAATAAGCAATGGTTTAGCTATATAGCCACACGCTGAACTTAAGAGTTCCAAAGTAATCTTTTGACAGATTATCAGTATTTTCCTGTTATCCTAAATTGATTAACATTTTAAAAGAATATTCTCTCTCTGAAAGCAAGAATTAATTAACTTTGTTATTGGTTGCCATAATATATGTAGTAAATGTTGAGGGCATTTTATCATGTTTATCATGGCATGATGGTACAAGATGAGGCAAGGAAAATTCTAAGCAAACTTTTTTGAGTGTCGAGCCTGTGTATGGGCATGTCAAAGAAAGTGGATGTCATACCAGTTGCTATTCATAAAACTTTGGTCTCTATTTAAAGAGATCAGTTTATGAATAATATCACATTCAGACAAATATTGCCCAGTGCTATCTATATTAAATGTGGTAGATGCAGAAGATTTGAATATTCAAGTTGTCAGTCATATCAGTCAAAAGTCATCAAAAGAAAGATTTTGTGGAAATGCTTTTTTCTTCAGCTTGAGTATTGCACATTTTTAAAACACAGATCACTTCAAAAGTGAATAATTATGTTTGTCAATTATGATGCAAAAAAGTTGTGGGTCATTTAAAAGCAATGACTGCATTGAAAAATCAACAATTTTGTGAAGATAGTGTAACAAAATCATCATGGCATATTCAGTTGCCAATAGGGCATAGGGTAGTAAAAAGGAAAGTAAGGGCCTTTAGAAAACACAGTGAAGCTATTACATGCTAGATGGGGTAACCTGCCTTCATGGGGCACCCTGTCTACTTGCTCGGGACACCCTTCCAGTCTGGCAATATTTTAGTCATGTGAACGGTTTGTGCTGGGTTATCCCAGCTAGCGGAGGTGAGAAGACTGCAAAAGCTATGTTAACGCCTTAACCTTAACTGCTTCTGGTGGCTACGCTCAATTAGTAGAGTGCAAAATAATAACCCTAGACACTGAGAAGCGGCCACTAGCGGAATGAAAAATTTTTAAACGTGCCACCAAAATGTTTCTTTTTGTCTGCTGGCATCTTGGTTATTGTGCTTAACAGCTGCTCAGAGGACAGTCCACTGACTATCCCTCTTTGGTGAGTTGCTTGTAAAGGCAGGCTATGTTTTAACCCCCCTAGCTGGGTGGGAGACACTCTTTCTCCATGTAAACAGGGCCTTACTGGGATAAGACTTTGGATAATGCTAAGCTATGTGGTGGGGTTAGAAAGGTGGCAGAGTAAATCTGTAAACAGCAAAAATAAACATGAAAGTGCAGTGTGGAGTTGTCCATGGGAGCTGCTGTGGCCCAGTGGTTAGTACATTAGACCACACTTTACTCTCATAATGCTTACTGCTGTATGCTTTGCAAACTCTAAGAGATAAGCTCTGTCACTGTGAGCCACAGTGATCTATAGGTGAAATTACTTGTCTGTAGTATGTGATGTAACGAGGTCAAATGGTAATTCAAACGGAGTGTAAATTTTTGATAACAGTAGAGATATGCACCAGCAGAAGAAGTGCAGTTGGTCAAATTTTAGTATGTCTTATCTTTTTTGTCTCTTTCATGTGGATCAATTTAGAACTATTCACCATGTCTGATGAAGATCGTATGAGATCAGAGATCCAAAGAATGCAGATGAGAGGAGATGAGCTGACTGACCAGGTAGATAAATGTAATGTTATGATACCAAGACTTCTTGCTATCATAATTTATTATGTGACTGAGGAAATGACTTCATTGTGATTGGCAGAGAGCAGGTCAATTTGTCATTTGGTTAATTTTTAATTTGCACTGCCGTGCAAATTATTGTGCTCACTTTCTTGTTGCAGGGTGTTTTGTAATCCAGTTTGTCCTTTAATGTTTGCTTAAATTGCTTCATTGTAAAATTAATGTCTGAGGCATCTTTTCTTTCATCAGTCCCTGGAAAGTACACGTCGTATGTTACAGCTGGCCGAGGAGGTGAGTACAAAAAGTCTGCCAATAAAAAAATCATCGTCACACAATAATTAATGGGGAGAAGTGTTTGTAAATAGGGTATTGGACTTAGGGTCTTAAAGTGTTCCTTGTCTAAGCTTACCCAGTAGCTACTGGGGAATCTCTTACCATCAGGAATATAAATGGGTACTTGCAAATTTAATTGTCTAGAATACCTGTCAAAAATTTTTTGGGGAAACCTTAGGAAAGAAAATTTTTAAAACGTACTTAATGAAATGATACACTGTAGTTAGAGACTACTGTCAGTAATGAATTTAACTTTTTTTCAATCAAATTCAATTTGATTTCTAGAGTCAAGAAGTGGGAATTAAAACATTAGTGGCGCTGGATGAACAAGGTGAACAGTTAGACAGAGTGGAAGAAAACTTGGATCAGATCAATGTTGACATGAAGGAAGCAGAAAGGAATTTGACGGGACTTGAAAAGTGCTGTGGACTGTGTGTCTGCCCATGGAAAAGGTCTGTTTGAACATAATGATAAATATATAAATTATATGACTGGATGTATGAAAACCGTGTCATTACTTTGAACCAAATCACCCATATGCACTTTGCTTTCACGACTCCTTAGGGGTTAAAATCACTCCAAGCGATGAAAAGAAAAATAGCAAGAGAAGAGCAAGAAAAGGAAGATAAGAGAGTGGATGAAAAAAAGGCTGCCATTCCTTTTAATTTTTATTTCGTCTACTTTGGAAAAAATGCTCGAGTAGGATGCAATTCCTTTAACACTGTTTTCATAAATATAGACATTTATGCATACAAGTACATATTTATATTAATCGGTGTTAAGCACACATTGGGTCAGTTGTAAAAAGCAGTGCAGCTCTAGGCACAGACTTCTACAGGGCACATCAGCATTGTCCTTTAGGACAGAGCTCTGCCTACTTGATGTAGTATCAAGCTAAAATTCTTTCACCAGGCATTTTTGTTGGAGTTTGGAGGCTTAACTAAGCTAGGCTAAGCTGATGTTACATTCTCTATCACCCTACATGCTTACAAGTAAATGTTGCACGGTTTGATATATATAGCCCTTTGTACAATGTGGCATTTGTCTGTGTTTCATTTACATTACCACATAACAGAACAAAGAAAAATACCAAATTGTAAAGGTAAAGTCTGCACACAAACCAAGTGGCCCATCAGGTGGAAGCTTATCCCGGTTTCTGTAGTATGGAGTGACTAGGATTACATTTATTTCTACTCTCCCCCGGATGGGATGCCAGTCCATTGCAGGGTTACCCCCAGCATTAACTTTGCCAGTATCCATCTATACTTTTGGGTGGAGAGAGGCACTGCAAGAGCGAAGTGTCTTCCCCAACAACACAACACAAGGCCAGGGCTTGAACCCGGACTGCTTAATCTAGAAACGAGACAAAATTGAACCACGACATAAACACTCAGTAAAGAATACATGCAGCAAGTTTTATTAATGTGATCATCCAATAAAGTTTGTTTTACTGACATTTTTTCTCAGACGGAAAAATTTTGAAAAAAATGAAAAATACAAAAAAGCTTTCAAGAATAATGAAGACGGAGTTATTGCAACCCAGCCTGGTAAGTGGACACGAAATGCTAAAAATTGCCTTTTGTGATGAGGGAAAAAAAAAATTCTCAGCTGCAAGGAAAATTGCAAATTCAGGGGATGGCAACTGTAGGGCCATGTAGTAACTGAGGGCTCGTGAATATTGTTTCTTGAAGATTTTACATGACTGTACATATCATTTGCCTGAAGGACAAGTAGTGTTTTAGTCCACAATAGAATTATTAAGAAAGTCCTTCAGGCTTGAACTTTCTTACAGAGCAAACACAAGAAAATATATTTTCTTCACATCCTGACATATACATTAGAAAGCCCTGTTCACAAGTTGAGGTACATGATAATGTGCTATTTTTTCATTTGCCATTCCTTTGTTGCGTAGGTGTCAGGTACCAGCAAGATGGAAACCGCGGGGAAGCACCAAAAAGTGGTTACATACAGAAGTAAGTTCTCATTTATATTACATTGACATAAAGTGACTTTACACCAGGGAGACAGGCCAGCATGAGATTACACCTGCACTCAGTGTGGGGGAAACTGTCACTCCCAAACCTGCCTGACCAGTTATTTTAATATTATTATCATTATCATTATCATTATCATTATCATTATCATTATCATTATCATTATCATTATCATTATCATTATCATTATCATTATTATTGCTTTGATGAACCACACAATGTTTTTGAAGTTCATTATTATTATTATTATTATTATTATTATTATTATTATTATTTACACCTTATTTAGTACTTTCCCTTTACATATGGGTTAACTATTGACCAAGCGTAAGGTCAAGATGGCTTGGTATCGGCCAAGTTCTTTTTTGTGTATGTTTATGAACTGAAACGGAGTTAAGGCCCACAAATACATTAAAAGAGAACAAAGCCTATTCCAGCCATTTCGACCGAACAAGCTTGGTCACTAAAGGATTTGTTATATGCAAAAAGAACACTATTATTGTACAGGAGACAGTGGGTAAGCCTGAGCGGGCAAGATAACACCATCTTGCCTGCTTGGGTAGCCAATAACATTGCTGGATTCAGTTCATCTTGCCGGCTCACAGAGCTAGCCATATAATAAAATTCATGAATAGTTACAATGTAAAATTACGTCATTTTACAGCTCCATGCCCAGTGATCAGGCCTTTGAACATAAACATGGCATTGTTATGATACAAACCTTGGTACTCGTCGATCATGCTGTTCATTTTGCTTTCATTTAGAAGCTAGGAACTACATGTACATTTCACTTCTAACTGTAAAATGGTCCATGTTTGATATAGGGTTCAAAAATACAAATACATGTAGACTGATAAGAAAGCTCACAGTCAGATGAGACAGTCACTTAACAGAGTTCACTATGCAGAAACCTGTGTCATTTGCTGACCCAATGAAAACTTTTAGACTTGGAAATCAGATTCATGTTAGTGTGTTAATAGCTTCTAATTACACTTTGAAATGTTTTATAGGATAACAGGAGATGACAGAGAAGATGAAATGGATGAAAACCTTGGGTGGGTGTAGCAACAAAAGTTTTACTAGCCCAGTGATCATTAATGGTTTTTCTATTGCAATGCTTATTTCAGAATTTTATGATGTATATTGTGGTGTTTATCTTGATTGATGTGTCATTGATGTGGTTTTTACAGGCAAGTGTCTAACATTGTTGGAAATCTGAAATCAATGGCAATGGACATGGGAAATGAGATTGAAACACAGAATAGACAACTGGGTCGAATCAATGCAAAGGTAACGCCCATCATGTGACACGTTTTAGTCCTAAAATAGTACATCCCATCCAAGGGAAATACTTCTAGTTATTTCATGCTATGGAAACCAAAAAATAAGTGCCGGCCTGATGGGCCACTAGGCTTGAATTTAGATTTCACTGTTTTTTTTAGGAAACTGGGGTTCGCTGTTTACATCAATCTATATAAGACCCTTCAACTGGTTTCTCTTGTTTCTTTATTGCAGGCTGAGGCAAATGATCTCCGCATTCAACAGGCAAACACACGAGCCCGGGATATCTTAAGAAATTGCTGAATTGTATTGACTTCGTCAATATTGTACTAGTCTTACAAGTAATTGGCACTTGAGTATTATTAGCAATTAATAGATCCTCTGTGCTTGGTTTTGTTATAATTTCTCTCTGTGAGTATTACGTAGATTGTGTCTTGTCTAAAATGAAAGCAAGCGTTCATCTTGTATCTTTGAATAGTTCGAGGATTGACGCAGTATTGTAATTGGAAAGAAGGACACCCTTTCATGCAAACCGTATTATTTTTTAAATCATTACCTGGTACACTGAACTATAGGCCTACACTTTGTAACAAATTCTTCTTTCTTTTTGCTTTACTGTTGGCAGTTTAAAGTGTTTGGATCTCTTTTTAATGCTCAGTGAAAGATTATAGTAACCGAGAGCAGCTATACATTTCTATTGTGGCCTTATGTGCAGACCGACACGATGGAAATTTATAATCGAAGACATATTGTTGAAGGAAAATGTACAAAATTTCTTAGTTATCATGATAAATCAGCAAATATCTTCCTGGCCACACTATTTTTCTTTGCTGTGAGCAAGGAGACAGAACTGGTGATAACGCTTAATTAGACAGCAGCAAGAACATTTTCTTGTAAATACAAATATGTAATGATGTTATGATAACAGTCTTGTAGTTCGCATTGTTATTTGAGATGAGAGGATTTAATTTTGTCAAAATAAAATTTCTACAGTAAAAAGTTCGTAAGCACAAGTACCAATTATAAGACCAGTTTTTTTTTTTTTAGCTCCTTACTTTTTGTGGATTCCCCGTTTCTTCTTCTAGGCGGATACACGCGCGATAACCCGTGTGTCACGCGCGTTTACCCGTGTGTCACACGCGGTTTTTTTCCTCAAAGGCTTTGACACCTTTTCAAGATTTTTTCCCTTTTTTTAGGTTTTCTCGTTCCCACGTGTCTTTTCCGCTTACTACACCTTAATTTTTAAAAGCGTCCTGTTTTTTTCTCATGGATTCTTTTTTCCTGTTTACTCGCGGATACACGCGCGTTAACTCGTGACATGCGTTTTTTTTTCTCCACGACGTTGATTTCAATAGCTCATTACGAACCTTTGTTTCTATGTCTATAAGCCCACTCAAACCCCCTATAAATTGTTTAAGCATAGGACTTATAACTGGAGTTGTAGGGTAACTAGAAATCTCATCGCTCCACCAGATCGATGGTGAAGACCATGCGATTTGGTCGAAATATTCCCAAACAAGTAGCTCATGAAGTTTTAAACCACACACACAAAGTTGAACAACATTTTAACTCATGAAATGAACAAGAAGCTTAAAACCGGAACTGACAGCTTGACCGCCAAGNGTCATGCCCTAGCCTATCTACCATGAAAATATGAGCGAAATCGAATTTTCGACCCTTGCCGAGTTATTTTCCATTTTTATGGACAGGGACTCTTAAGGTCTACTGTCAGCTTCGACTGCATCACTTCTAAGACCATTTGCTTAACAAGTATTCAGTTTTTTTTTTACCTTGTGCACCGTATGGATGCGAACCAGGCGGAACACCGTACCCAGGATACTGACCCGCCATCTTTTTTTGTGAATCCAACCTCGTCCCCAGGGCCCACAGGCAGGCCAGACTTTGAATACGATTAATATCGTTTATAAGACAATGTATAAGAATGCTTCGAAAATTACTCTAAATGCTACGTGTAGAAAATAATTTGAATAAAATGGCTTACCTTATGTTTGCATTGCCTTATTTTGATGTCTCTGGGTTCTTGGAGGTGGTTTAGAGCCATTTAGGCGTGTTTTACTTTCTTGCGGTTTGCTTCCCCTCAAGAGAAACGTTTCTGCGAACGCGTTTGTCGAAAAATGTATACTTAGCTCGTGATTTTTAGCCTATTCAGAAGTTGAAGTTTTAGGAAAAGTGCCTATGTAACCGCTTGTTTGTTCAGGACAGATAATCAGTCGCCTAGATAGCCAAAGTAAGTTCTAGATGTTTACACTATTTTCCGGTCGCCATATTAGAGGGTGGCAAAGGTACCAATCACGCATCACGCTGAATTTTTCTATTAAATCACATATCACGGAGAATTTTTTTCACCAATCACGCGTCACGTAAAAAGAAGTAAGTACATCACCAATTTTACTTTCTCGACCCTAAAAGCGTCGTTAAAGAAGAACTCTGCCGATTCAACCACAAAAATGCATCGGCAAATATGTGACCTCTCACACGAAAACGTTCCTTACGGCGAGTATCCGTTCGAACGGCTGAACGCACGGCAAGTGAACGGATAATTTGAATAACGATAGTCAATTTAATTGTTCCAAGATATCTTAAGACTACTTGGTTCTATATGAGTTGATAACCACTGAATATAATGAGTAATGTCTCTAAAAACGATTTAAAGAAATGCAAATTGTGAAGGTGAATGTGAGGGATTCATGTGTAGGTATATGTTGGCAATTAGTATCACCCAACTAGTGGACTAACTCAAATCCTGCATTTTAATTGGCTACGCTACTAGAAGACTATTAGTAATAGTCCTCGAGTAGCTACATTGGCGCAATCGAGCGTGACACTTTCTTTCGTTTTATTCCCAAAGAAATATTTCTTCAACTTACATTTGGTAACTTTATTATTGCCTTTTCTGTCCGACTAGTTGGGTGATACTAAAACAATTAGACCCTTCCCCCTCAAGGGCCACAGGTCAATAGCCCATTCGGCTTCGCCTCATGGGCTATTGACCCGTAGCCCTTTGTGGGCTGCGGGTCTAATTGCTAATTAGTACGATGAAAGCTGTGTAGGTATATGTGAGGGATAAATGAGATGTAGGCTGTGTAGGTATATGTGGGGAATTAATGAGATGTAGGCTGTGTTATATGTAGAAAAACGTAGAAATAACAACACTTATTAGTGTGTATTACTCTCTTATTTATCCTTACCTTACCTATGCTTGTACACTTTGGGGAAATAATTATAACACTCCATTGTCTCAAATCGTAAAATTACAAAACAAAGCGGTTCGTGTTATAAATGATGTTCCTTTAATGGAATCAATAACTCCTCACTACTCATCCTTAGGCTTTCTGAAATTTCCTGATACTGTTAAACTGAACACGTGTATGCTCTTTTATGATTATTTCCACCATGATAAGTTTCCTAATTTACATGTTTCACTAGTGTCTGAGCTACATAATTGCAGTACCCGTAGTGCATCATCCAACCAAGTTGCAATACCTTCATTTCGAACTAATCTTAGGAGATTTTGCCCCAGCATTATTGGAAGTTTCTTTTGGAATAATATTCCGCAATCCATTAGAGACAAACCATCTAAAAAAACGTTTAGAAAAGCACTTTTACGTTGGTACCTTGTTCAATACTAATGAAAACATTATCTCTTTATAACTTTCGGAGCTATTTTGTCATTTTTCCTGTTCTTTTTCTTTTTCTTTTTATTAATAATCTCAAGTTATACATAACTTTCATGGGCACAAAATTAGTTTATCTAGATGTGCTCCTCTCCTTCCAATATATAATGTAATTCAATTCAAGTAATGTAATTTCTGTTTTATGCGTTTTTTTTTTCTTCCTTACAAAGCACTATCGGTTACTATTTATTTTCTTTACGATATATTTACACATCTCTGTATTAGCTAGGAATTGGAGTAATAAAAAATTTTTTTAAAAAATTAGAAAAACGTAGGAGATTAATGAAATGTATGGTGTGTAGGTATATGTGGAGGAATTACCGGGATGTATGCTGTGTAGGTATATGCGGGGGATTAATGAGATGTAGGCTGTGTAGGTATATGTAGGGAATTGATGAGATGTAGGTTGTGTAGGTAAAAGACTTACCAATATATATCAGAAAATCAGACAATCTTCATATTTTCAAAACTCGGCTTCAAACTCGGCTTAAAACTCCTTTATTTAAGGAAGTCTTTTTGGAATAATTTTATTGATTCTTGTTTTATTTTATTTTTTAATATTATCCTATTTTAATAATATGTTATAACTTGTAAAGCGCTCTAGAT